TGCAAACCACAACCAACAAATCCACCTAAAGCTCAAAAGAAAGTTTCTTTCTCATCCACCATAAAATGCAATCCTTAACCAAAGTTCACTGATGACCATAACCATATTATGGATGACATTGATCCTGCTAACACCCAGTCATTGATTGATGAAATTTTCAGGCTTCGTGTTGAACTCATGGAATTCAAAAGTAACTACAGGTATAAGCACCTTTTTGAGGAGGTGGACTGGCTCAGGGGTATCATCGGAGATGGGCTGAAGAATCAAGCTTCGCTAAGAGCCAGAGTCAATGAGCTTAGTGATCAAATCATTGCTGCTAACCATCTTCATTCCATTGATCTCTCTGCTCATGTCACTGATAATTCAACTGCTAAAGCAAATGCAAATGGTAATGGCTCACATCCTGAAGGAGATCATCAGCACACAACAGCCAACAACTCACACCAGAGTTCCCCATCTCATCTCCACCATTCCTGTCACATCAACCACCATGCTGCTCCACCAGGTTTGAATTTGAATTTGAACTCAAAAACATCCTCTTCAGGTAATGTCTCTGACCACCTTTCTACTCTTCAAAAAGTTGTGACTTCTGATAGCCTCAAGACCACTTCTACCCACGAGGTATGTCCAAGTATAGCATCATCCCCTACTTTGGGTATAAGGGCTGACACTAACCCCAAAGTTTGTCAACCCCCTCACTGCAACCTACCTAATCCAACACCTACTACCCCTGTAGACCCACATGGTGCTACTTCCCTTAACCCTAGCCCCAAACCATCTTGGGCTGAGGTTACCATGAGACAATCTAGATTACCATTGGACAATCTACAACACCCTCTTCCAACTGATGGCATTATTGTCCCACCCCATGACATTGAAACCGTGGGCCTTTCCCATCTCAAAACAAGCATTCTTGGCTATTTTGTTCACAAACCACTCCCCCTTGGGATGGTCAAAGATTTCTCTCACTCTCTGTGGTCGGAGAGAGGTTTCCTTCGAGTTACTAGCTCAGAGAAAGGCCTTTTTGAATTTCACTTTTCCTCAATTGACCAATGCACTGCAGTATTATCTGAGGGACCTTGGTTTACGGCTAATAGACCTATTTTTCTTTACCAATGGGAGCCACATTTTCAAAAATCTAAGCACACCTCTATTCCCATTTGGATCAAGCTGTATGGATTGCCGCTTCACTACTGGACCAAGCAAGGACTTAGTTATATATCTGGCTTCATTGGAGCTCCCCTCTTTGCTGACCCTATCACAGAAAAGAAGCAAAAAAACTAGATTTGCTAAGGTTTGTGTCGAGATTGATGCATCTGCAGACCTACCCTCTTTACTTAAAGTGCACCAGAGCTCGGGGAAGGTTACCAATGTCATTGTTGATTACCTTAACAAACCAGTGATTTGCTGCAACTGCAAGTGCTTTGGTCACTCAACCAAAACCTGTTACTCATTACTCCTCCCAACAAAAAACCTCCAACCTTTATCTGAATGGAAGGTAGTTCCCTTTAAGAAGCATGCCACAACTACTCATCCACACACCTCCAATGTGAATAACATTCCCCCCACAGAACAAGCTTCCTCTTCCCACATTACCATTGCTTTACAACTAGGTCAAAACATCATCACACATTATTTTAAGCCTGTTGAAACTCTCAAAGTTGATTTGAGTTCCTACAACCCCTTAAACTTAACCCTTGATTTTGTCCCATGCTCTATCACTGGAAATGATGTTTTTCCTCTATCAACCACAGTCCTTGAGAAGCAACCATCACCTTTGGAAGATGACTGCACTAGTTTATCAGAAGATGAATCAACCAATAGCATGCCTGCAATTTTGGGTAAAGGCAAAGCTAAGAAGGAGAGCTTCAACAAGAGGAAGCAATCAAGGAAAATCATTTACCTCAGGGGGAATTTATTCCCAAAAGGGAAACCTACTAAGACTGTCAAATGGTTGTAATAGCCATATAGAATATCAGGGGCTTGAACAGCTCCCAGAACTAAGGTAAAGTTAAGTTTCTATTAACTGAGAATAGAGCAGATATTGCTACACTTGTTGAGACAAAAGTCCAACACTGCAATTCAAATAGAATTCACAAAATAATTGCAAGTAACTGGAGGCTAGCACACAATTATAGCCACTCACCACTGGGAAGGATATGGATCCTATGGAATCCTAGAGCAGTTGATCTGCAAATTCTGCAATGCTCAAGACAAGCCATTTGTAATACCCCTAATTTAAAAAGGATAGTCTCAGTATTATTTTAATAGTTTTAATTGCATTTAATTATTTAGTTATTTTCTTGACTAATTGTTTACTTGTTTAATTGATTTAATTATTTGTTTAAATTGAATTGTATGTGATGATGTGTATTTATTTAGGAATTTAATTGTTTTATTTTTATTTTTATTTTATTTTTATATTTTTGAGGAATTGGATATGGATAGTAGTAATTGATCAATCAATTGGGCTCCATGGACTACTTGGATAAGGGGTTTAATGGGTACGGATAATTACCCATGTATATGTATATTTAATAAATAAATAAATAAATATATATATATATATATATATATATATATATATATAAGGAAAGTTCTTAATTTTTAATCTGATATATATTTATATATTATATATAAAAAAGAGTACACATAGATTATACGTAACATATATTTAAGTTATCTTTTTAGTATTTAAATTTTATTTTATTTTAGTTTGTCTTGGAATGGAAAAATGATTAGGGTTATTTTAGTTGCCTATAAATATATAACTATAGAGTTGTGAAAGAGGTTAGAAAATATATCACGTACTATATTTTAGAGAGAGAAAAAAGGAAGAGGAAGGAAGAGAAAAGGGAAGAAGGAGGTTAGGGTTTTTATCAAATCCCTAAAGGCAAGTTTTAATTCTTCTCTTCTCCTTTGATTCATACTCTATGCATGCTAGATTAATTCTAGGTTTTTTTTAAAATAAATTAATTGGAATCTAATTATATGAATTGATTTAGGAATTTTAGTTCATATTTCAATAATGGATTTTAATTATTTGTTTTCTTCTACCTACGCTGTTGGTAGCCTTGATTTTAACTTAATTTATGTTATTTATGTTAGCATGAATCAATCAGCTTATGCATATGTGGGTAAAGTCATAAGGCATTCTTTATAAATCTGTGCGCGCCGAACGAGGAAACTATTGATAATTGATTTAATAAAGAAAATCCACAATGTGGTTTAAATGGTAATGAGATTTTGTTTTCTTTCCATGCACGTCGAACGAGGAAGAATAGCTTTAGGAATCTTCAATTTGTTACATTGAGTTTGCAATTGAAATTCAATTCCTACGTAAGCCATAATGAAAAGTCAACTTAAAGTAATTTGTTATTGTTTCAAATTATTAGAAAGGAATTTGGTATGTAAAAAAATTGTTAATTACACGCTAAATATTTTAAAAGTTAGACTAATTAATATTGTGATATTAAACTGATATTATTATTTTTGATTGATGGATTAGTATTAAATATTTATTTAATAAATTCATTAAGAATTGGAATGCATGATTTAAGTTTACACGCTAAGTATGGAATTTAATTAATTATAAAAGAGATACATTAATTAAATATTCTTGGATTAAATTATTTTAATCAATTGTTAGATTTAAATTAATTTAATCAGAATATGGAGATGTACAATTTAGTTGAAATGCATGTTAATTTCTTGTGATGTAAATTAAATGCATGCTATTTGGAATTTATATTTTTGCTCAAGTAAATGTAAATGATGTGTATATGATTTATATCATATTTATTTGGATTGTTATATGTAAACATTATTGACATTATCCTTGGATTTGAAACTTTTATTTGATTATGATATGGATTAATGCACCATTATGGGATGTGGGCATATTAGGAACGGATTAATTTAAGAGTTAAGTCCTACCTATTTTAAATAAGGGAACGGATTAACCACAGTGTTAAGTCCTACTTATTCGTGTCAGGTCAACGGAATAGTTGGATGACATATTATAATTAAAATAATAATTTGATAGTTTATTTTGATGATTGGATAGGACGAATTTTACATATATAATTATACGCCATGATATGAGCTTGAGTCTCAGGATCAGTGGTTAGGGTGCGTATATCGCCAGGGATGTGTAGCTAAATATAGCGTAGTTGTGTACCCTGGTAGGTCTAGGTACTCATGCCCACTATATGTGCATTTTGCATGTTGTCTACTATTCAGGTTGAGACAACTATATAGTCTAATGAGGTTCCTTTAGTGTGTATATATTTATATATGGACTATTTAGTTATTGTTGAATTAATTAGGATGTGTATGTATATCGGGTCTCTGTTTGGGATGTAGTAGATTAGAACTTGTTTGTGGGCCTGACCCACCATTATTTTTCAGGTGTTCGTCAGTTCCAGTCTTAGAGATTATTCGTGCCGAGCAGAGACAGTCATTCACTCTTCCGACTCTATGTAGGACTCTTCTTCATGGTTTAATTATTAGTTTTATTTCAGTTCAGTTATTTCAGTTAGGATATTATTAGGGGTCTATAATGTGGATTCCCGAGTTGTAGTTTTAATTAATTACTGGTATCAGAGGATTGGAGGATTTTAGTATGGGATTTTTAATTATTTCTATTTGAGGATTTTAAAATAAGGATTTAATATTTAGTTTCCTTTTTCTTTTCACCTTATCTATTTTTTTTTAATTCATCTTGTATTCAAATACTTGTTTAAATATTAATTGTTTGATATCCCTCGGATCTGTGCTCGAACTTGATCACCCGTGACTTTAAAATCGAGGGGTATCACACCATTCATTGTCATGCCACTTTCTTAAGCTGTAGATCCACCTTTTACATCATATTTGTATATGCTGCTAATGAAGCCACATAGAGGGAATTGTTATGGAATGATACTGTTCAGAAAGCTTCAGCCATCTCCTCAGCCCCTTGGATCCTTTGGGGGGATTTCAATATTATTAAGTCTCCAATGGAAGATCATGGTGGCAAAGGCAAGCTTTCCAAACCCATGATGGACTTCAAAAAGTGCCTTCACACTGCAAATCTTGAGGATCTCAACTTCTCAGGGGTGCTCCATTCTTGGTCAAATAGAAGTCCTGGGATCACAAACATTGCAAGGAAACTTAATAGAGTCCTTATTAATGATTCTTGGAACCACATTTTCCCTTTATCCTACTGCAGCTTCCTTACCCCAAGTATCTCGGATCATACCCCAATGATCATTAACCTTGGAAACCCAAAACCACAGAGAAAAGTCCCATTCAGATACTTCAATAGCTGGAGTGATCATGATGATTTCTTACCCCTGGTGCAATCCCATTGGAATACTCTTATTACAGGCCATATTATATTCCAAGTGGTCTCCAAACTGAAGAACCTCAAGCAGCCTTTGAAATCCAAGTTTGGAAAGCCTCTAAGCTCCCTTCAGGATGAAATTCAGAGGGTTAAAGCTTCCCTCTCCTCATGCCAAATGGCCCTCGACTCAGCACCTAACAACCTAGCATTGAGGACACAAGAAAAACATCTCCTCCACTCCCTTACATCACTTATGCTCAATGAGGAGAAAAACTGTAAACAAAAATCAAGAATCCAATGGCTCAAATGTGGTGACTCAAATACCTCCTACTTCTACAAATCCATTGCATCCAGAAGCAACAGAAACAAAATTGTATCCATTACTTCCTCAGATGGTATTCCACTTGACACAGAAGCAGCCATTAAGAATGAAATTGTATCCTTCTTTCATCAATGCCTTGGGATGAACCCCCATCCCCCCCAAGAATTGGAGCAGCTGCAGACCTTCATCCAGCCTGTTGTACCTAATTCCTTCACTGAATTATTGTGTTTAATCCCTACATACACTGAAATCAAGCTATGCCTTTTCTCCCTCAACAGTGGCAAGGCTCCAGGACCTGATGGTTATAATGCACATTTCTTCAAAAAAGCTTGGCCAGTTATTGGTGAGGATGTTACAAGGGCAGTTAGAGATTTCTTCACAACTGGGAAGCTACTCAGAGAGGTAAACTCCACCTATATTTCCCTTGTCCCAAAAGTGCCTAACCCCTTCATTATCAGTCAGTTCAGACCAATCTCATGTTGCTCTACTATTTACAAATGCATTTCAAAGCTACTTGCTAATAAGCTTAAACCAACCCTACCCTCAACTATAGATCAAGCTCAATCAGCCTTTATTCAGGGTAGGCAAATAGATGACAATATCTTGCTTGCTCAGGAGCTCCTTAATGGATACCACAGGCACAACAACTCTCCTAGATGCTCACTGAAGATTGGCCTCAAGAAGGCATTTGACTCAGTGTCATGGGATTTCCTTCTCAAATCCATGAAATTGATGGGTTATCCAGACATTTTTGTCAATTGGATCCAAACCTGTATCACCACTCTATTATTTACTATTTCCATTAATGGTGAATTTAATGGATTCTTTAACAGTGTTAAGGGGTTGAGACAAGGAGACCCCTTGTCACCCTTTTTGTTTGTTCTTGTGATGCAGGTTTTCTCACTAATCTTGAACAAGCTCACAGATCAAATGCCATATAAATTCCATTGGAGATGTAAAAAGCTGAAACTCACTCACCTGATATTTGCAGATGACCTTATGCTATTCTCTCATGCTAGCATCCCATCTATTCAAACCCTCAAGCATGGATACATTCACTGCTCTCTCTAGGCTCCACATCAACCTCTCTAAGAGTCAATGCTTCTTCACTGGAATTAATGAATAGTTAGAGGCTAACATACTGTCTCTCTTTGGGTTTGAGAAAGGGCTGCTTCCTGTAAGATACCTTGGTGTTCCCTTGATCACAACAATGTTGAGATCAAGTGACTGTAGAGCAATTATTGACAAAATCAACCTCAGGATTACTCATTGGTCTAGCAAAAACCTCTCCTTTGCTGGAAGATTGCAGCTTATCAAAGCACTCTTGTTCTCAACTCAAGTTTATTGGTGCTCCAAGTTCAACCTTCCAATGGCCATAATTCATGAAATGGATTGCTTGTTTCGATCATTCCTTTGGTCTAGGCCCTCCCTCAAGAAATCAGGCTGCAAAGTTGCTTGGGAGCATTGTTGTCTTCCTAAGAAGGCTGAAGGGCTTGGCATCCCTAATCTTGCACTGTGGAATGAGGTTGCAGTTATGAAGCATTTTTGGCACATCATTAGTTTCAAGTAAATGTTATGGGTCAAATGGATTGAACTCTATCTGCTTAAAGGGAGGAGTATTTGGGAAATCAGCATTCCTAGACAATGCTCTTGGAGTTGGAGAAGACTTATTGGCCTAAGGTCATCTATCAAGCCTCTTGTCAAGGTTGAAATTGGTAATGGAACCTCTACCAATTTTTGGTTTGACAATTGGTGCAGCCTAGGTCCACTCCACCTTCTCCTCACTCCACAGCAATTAATTGACACTGGCCTTGACACCACAACTAAACTGAGCTCATTTATTATCAACTCCACATGGATGTTCCCACCTGCCATTACAAACTTATTTCCAAATCTGTTATAGGCCAACAATACTCCCTTGCCATGTCCAGAGAAGTGTGACAAAGTTAAATGGATTCCATCACCAAATGGAAAGTTCTCAATTGGCCATACACTTAACCATTTTGACAAACACTTGCCAAGCATCCCATGGACTCACTTAGTCTGGTCTAAAAATTTCGTCCCCAAGCTCTCTTTTACACTATGGGTTGCTGTCCAAATGAGACTGCCTACGCTGAATAGAAGGTGCACATCTCACATCAATGCCACTACTTGTACCTTATGTAACTCATTCGAGTTAGAAACCCATGACCACTTATTCTTCAAGTGTGATTTCACAAGACCACTGTGGTCATTCATTCAAGCAAAATGTGGCTTCTACATCAATTCATCATCTTGGCGGAATCTTGTTCTCTGGGCATCTCATCACTGGAAATCCAACTCTGGTGTCCATTACAGCTCAATTACAAAACTTGCCCTAGCGTCTCTTATGTATAACATTTGGATGGAGCGCAATCGAAAGATAGTTAAGAAGTCATCCTTGTCCCAAAATGCCCTGCTCCAGCAAGTCATTGATTTGATCAGGCTGAAGCTTATGTCCTCAAAATTCGCAGATTCTCCAACTTCCAGGCGTATAATTGAAGATTGGGAACTCTCTGCTTTTGTTATTCGACCACCGGCAAAGCCTCCAGACACTCGCTAACCATGGAGGAGTGAATCCTCTTCTTGCCACTGCTTAGTGATGCATCCTGTTCGGATAACTGGTTTTCAGTTGCTCCAGAAGGGCTTGGGCAACATTTGGGCTATTTGTTACATATTTTGGTTGCTTGGGACTATCATTGTTTGGGCTTGGAATCTGGGCTTGTTTGTTTGGTTAGCCTTAGCTAACTATGTATTACTTTTTGGTTTATCAATATAATCTTGCTTACCTTTTAAAAAAAAAAAAAAAAAAAAGTAGAGTGGTGCAGCCATGATTCCAAATTACTTCCAAATGTTAGTTCCGATCTTTCAAGCCAAAACAAATGCTTTATATATATATATATATATATATATATATATATATATATATATATATATATATATAAGATGTTTGGAAATGAAAATTTGCCACATAACAGTAAGAAATTAGATTCGGTAAGAAAAACAATTCAATGCAATGATAAAGCCAAAAGGTGACAATTCAACTAGTTGGTCATCAATATGCTCATATAGGTACAAATGAACAAAAGATCTTACAGGAGGCTTAACCTGCAAATAATGTTGTAGTAGTTAATTAATTAATGTGCTAAGTAGAGGTATGAAATTTTGACAACATGAGTGCTATTTCTGTTTTAATTTTTTGTGTTTTTGTTTCTCTACTGATTTAGGGCGCTGTACAATGCTTGGGTGGTTACCAGTGCAGGTTCTCGAGCTAAGATCATTTTACTTTTTTTCCCCTTGAAATGTTACTTTGAGCAATGAATTAGAATAAGAAACAGTTAGCTAACTGTTGTTTGCTGTATGTTCTATACGTTACTCAAAAACTCTTTATCTAACTCTTTACCGTCAGACATCTTTACCGTCAAACATGTTTGGATTAAATGAGATCTCTGTTATTTATAGGCAACATCCCTAATGCACGAATTGAAAGATTCTAGGGTGTTGTATTATGGTGTAAAGTTTTAGATATTTTAGAAAAGAATTCTAAAATAATCTGTTTTAATCATGATGATAATACTCGTATAGGGTCTCATTTGTACGCAACAATTCCTACATAACTCTAGGATATTTTTTTTTTCTAAAAATATAAATATATTATTGTTTTCAAATTATTTTCAAATATTAAGTTAAACGAACATAAGAGAAATGTATGAATAGTCTCAATAGTGTGGAAAGAAAATTAAGGAGAAATTATATCATCGGTGATAAGTTCATTCTGAAATTAATTTTCTATAGAAAAATAAAAATACACAAAACAGATAATTATTAATACTACCATTACTGCTATTTCTTTTCTTTTGGGGCCCACCTCTATAAGAACAAGAAAATGTTAAAAGAAGTTTGGTCATTTTTTGCTTCTCTCTCCAAATTCATCCATTTAAAGTTTTAGTTTGTATTGATTTTAGTTGTGTTTGTGTCATCGTGGGCTCAACACGTTTAAGTCAGTTAGACAAATTTAATTAACATGTAAGTTTAATTTGATTATCTAGGAACATGTTTAACTCAATTAGAATGAACATTTTTTATACTCGTATTTCAATATAAACTCTATATAAATATTGTATTGTATTTTTTTTTTTTTTTTGGTTATAAAAAAATAAAAAATTTAGTATCTAAGGCTACGTTTGGTGTGCAGGAATGGAATGGAATGCAATTTGGAATGGAATGAGAATAAAAATAGAATGGAATGAATATTACCATTCTAATATTTGGTGTGACATGGTGAATCGTTTTGGAATGGAATGATTATTATCATTCTATTATTTGGTTGACTATCATTAAATTTGGAATGGAATGATTTTTCTCAAAAATGCCATTTTCATTGGCTTACATTACTTTTTAATTCTAACGATGAATTATTGAATATTATAAGATGCCCAGTACTGCCATTGAAAAAAATAAAGAAAAATCATAAAATAAAATAAAATATTATTTTTAATGAGATATTAATCTTAATAAATGACTGCAAAAAAAAAAAAAAAAAAAAAAAAAAAAAAAAAAAAAATCTAAAAATCTAAAAATTATTTTTAATGAGATATTAATCTTAAAAAATGAACCACTAGAGCATTGAAGTCGTAGGCCAATAGGTATTTTGCTAGATTTTCCATTCAAATTTTTTTTTGTAGATTTCTTGAAAATTCTAGTTTTGATAAAATTCGAAAGCAAGGTTCTCCAATCATCTAACGATGAACTTGACAAGGGTCAAAAAGTCAAATAAGTCCACTTTTGGCTCGAGATGATTATTAATTTTTATTTTATGTGATTATTAATTTTTATTTTATATAATCATTGTTTCATACGTAAATATTAGAAGAGAGAAAGATGGAAAATCACACAAATGTTTCAACACAAAGATACAAATAAAAAAATAAAAATAAAATAAAAATAAAAATAAAAAAGTGATATACTTAAAAGATAAAGAGATTAATACATACTTGTCAAAAAAAAAAAAAAAAAAAAAAAAAAAAAAAAAAAAAGAGATTAATACCTACAATTTGGTTGAAGGTCCTGCAACTTTTTATCAATTACAGTTCTGGGTATATTCAGAAGAGAAGGAAGGTGAAAGAGTACACCTTTACCACGTCTAATAAAGAATCTTGACAAATGTGAAAAATAGAATGTGAAAGATTTTGCCTTATTGGAATGTGATGAAGAGCTTATTGGGAATATTGTAAAAAACTTTAATCTTATTATAAATGGAATGGCCATTCCATAGGTTTAGTAATGGAATGGATTTTCATTCTCTGGAATGGATTTTCATTCCATTGGAATGATCATTCCATTCCATTTCATTCCTGCACACCAAACAATTGAATGGTTGGAATGGACATTCCATTCCATTCCTGCACACCAAACGTAGCATAATAGTCTTCATTTTCATTAATTAAATCATGCATTCATCCATTCTGTCATGATTTGCATTTTATACCGAAAACAAGTTACATGACCCATTTAATTTAAACGAATTAAATAGGTTTGTGATGGCCCAAGTTTTTTAACCCGGTGCGTCAGTAATGAACCGAAAGTTGACCTGATAAAGGATTCGAAATGCAGAAACGAAACCAAAAATAAGACCTGTAGAGATATCAATCATCCCTAAGACACCCAAATGACTTCCCATGAAGTCATGAAACTCAAAGAAATAACCAGAAGCGGAACTAAAATAAAAAGGTCAAATGATACCCTAGATCATTTCTAGCATCAATCACATCATCCATGACTTCATGGGATGTGATCTAGTTCAAACTAGACTACGTACACCGTTAAATGTCTTAAACGAGATCGACAAGGTTATGTTGGGACAAACAAATAAAACCAACTAACTGAAACAACTGACCAAGCAAAACCCAAAAAATAGCTCTATTTCGGTCAACCGAAATGGAGCTTCGGTCTGCCAAAATGGACTAGGAAGAGAAGAGAAATGAGCCTTCATTTCGATCGACCGAAATGACAAACCGGTCGACCGGTTTGTGGCTCGAAGCGAAAAATGGCTACTGGAATTGGACTTTTACTGTTCAATTGAAATTTAAAGGCCATCGGTCAACCGAAACAAGCCACCGGTCGACCGAAACAGGTAGAAATGCAAAGAATGAACCTGTTATGTACCAAAACTGAAAAGAAATTCCTAAGTCTCAAATGGATCCCCCATTGCATGATCAAAATGAATTGTATGCAAGTGTGTGATGATGTGAATATACACGCAAGTGTAAAATAACATTTTAAACATGCTGAAAGGCCTATGGCCTTATTACAATTCATTTACAATATTTGACATGTCAAACCTCCAAGTTAAAAAAATTACATTTCATAGGCAAAACTTAAACATGCTAACACTTGCATGTGAACAAGAATGTTTCTAAAGAAACTTCAATTCTGCAAATCGCCAAAGCAAGTGCAAATCTCCAATCTTGTATCCTGTACCTGAAATATGCCCCAGTAACTTTGGGGTGAGCAACATAAAGCTACTCGTAGGAAATGAGAATACATCGACCTAACGTTTTACAATTTTATCACCTTAAGGGGAAACATGCTAAAGGGGCTCATGCCACCTAACTTCTATGTCAAGATGAGACTCAGGAAGCATCCTAAGCTACCCTCAATCATTTCTAACATCAATTACATCATCCATGCAATTCAAACCACATAGGAGCATGCTATACAAAGCAACATGATATAGATTCTCAAAGTTACCAACTTGAAATCTAAAGTGCGAAAACAACCAAAGTGGGTCATGCCACCTAACGTCTATGTTCCAAATAAATCTATAGAATCACTCTTAAGTTACATTTGAACAACAAAACACAATCACAATATCTATATAATTTAACCAACATAGAAGCATGCTATACCAAGCAATAAGATATAGATTTTCAAAGTTATCAACTTGAAATCTAAAAGTGCGAAATCAACTAAATATAGCAATTTAGTATAATTAGAATATCTAATACCACACATTAAAACATAGATTCTCTAGGTTATCAACTAGAAATCTAAAAGTGCGAAATCGATTAGTGGAACACTTGGACATCTAAATTCGGAATTCTGCCGAGACCTCAACGGCTATTACGGGGACTAACCCGCTGGTAATACCACCCTTAGTGCGCACTATCTGGACGGGGAGAACTCATACCTCCCGCACTAGAGCCAAACTCTAGCCATGTTATAGTAACCATGTCCCAAGTGACTCCAAAATAAATAAGTTAACAACTTATATACGAAATATATATATACAGCACGAAACTACATTCCATGGACAAGTAGGTTAAAACCACACAATACATGCTCTAAATCCACAACTACTATAGGATAACAATGTCGAATCTTCAGAGCGCGATTCGTTACGTGCTATAATAACATCACATGTCGAATCTTCAGTGTGCGATTCGTTACACGCTATAATAATATAATTCAATATTGAAACATAATCGCATTAATCCATTACAAGTCTAAAATCATGCTTCAAACATAATATCAATGTTAAACACATGATTTAATCAATAATGC